CCAGCAGGGGGTCCATCTGGGAGCCGCCTGGCATCGGCTCTGTCGGACGTAGGGGAAGCTTCTGGCAGCTTCTCACAGAAGCCACCGCTGGAGCCCCCCGCTACCAAAACCTTGCCACGCAAACCCAATACAGTGCATAGTATGCACAGTACTGGGACAACACAAGCACAAGCAGCACACGAGTAGATTCCATACGTAAAACAGATGTAGTAAACGTATTACACGGTTTTAAATGCTGTTTTTATAGTGGGTTGATTTTCCACTGAAGATGGATGAAATAAAGCCTGTTCAGCACATTCAGCGTAAAGGAAAGTGATGCCCAGTGAGCTGTGCACCAGAGTGGTGAATATAATTTAAAAAGCAGATTTTTATTATATATTTTAGTGCCAAATTCACTTGCTTCTGCTCCCTTCCACTATAAAGATCACATTGGAATTCACAATTGATATAAATATATATAAACCCTTCCCCCATTCCTGGTTTATACTTGCCCTCCTTCCTCTTTCTGTAGATATGAGATACCTCATTTACGTGCAGAACTGGCCAAGGCAGTTCCCAGGCCTCGTGTATTTTTTACTGACAGCCACTCTGGTGGAATTATATTTACCCATGGTTTAGGTCTTTTCTCTTTGTTTGTTTGTTTTTGTAGAAGATGGTAAAAAGAAGAAAGAAAAAAGAAAGTACACTCTCCTCCAGGACCCACTTTCTGTTTGCTGATTTGATCGTAGTTCGCTTCAATTGCCATTAATAAACTGAACTGAGCAAGATGGATTAAAGGAAAGAGCAACACCAGTTTTTGTTTGTTTAAAGCATGAGGAACATAAATATAATGGCTTCAGAGGAACCCAGCCTAGGGCTAAATTCTGACTTAACTCTCCTGCGGGGTGCTGCAGACAAGATGAAACACAATGTCTCAACTGAAGGTCCCCAACCCAGTACAAGGCAGGACAGATGTGGGAAGGCACGGGAGCAATTCACTCTGCAACGCTCCTCGCTGCACTTCCAGAAAGAGACAATGCGTGCCCTTCTTTTGGCACCTAATGCTTATCACAGCTTGTGTGCATGCAGCAGAGGGGCTGTCTGGATCCCCAAGCCAGCTGAACAGATTACATCAACAAGATCCCCATATGAACTGTCAAAAGGTTTTCCTACTCTGTCGCTATCTTTTCTGAAGTAGGCAGAAAATGCTCCCAGCAAGAAGGATTTACCCTGTAGGAGAGTACTTTGAATCTTCCAAAAGCCATAATGAAAATGTTTGTGTTTCCATCCAAGAATGGTATTGGCAGCAAATTGAAGGTAATTAAACACATTGCCCATTGGCCGTACAAATTTCTTCTTTGTAATAATTTCAGAGAAACAAACCCCTCTCTATAACCCAGACATTGTGTTGTGCAACAGGAATTTTTCGGGCTAACTTCTACCCTGCTGTAAGTGCACTGCAATGGGAGTTACAGCCACTTTATGCCAAGACTGTGCTTTGTTCAGTATCTCTCAGATGCTCTGTAGTTCAATTTCATTACCTCATAATTTCTAAGAATTGTCCTGTTTACTGGGAAAAGACCAGCGAACTGGACTGCACACTCAGTAGTTTCTCCATGTGCAAACAACAGAGAAACCACATATCTATTATCACTACCTAACCCTTGATTTTACTCCTTATCTTTATATAACATGGCCAAGTTCACACTGTTTATTTTAACTCACTTCCTGCAGGGGATGACTCCATCTGAATTTTTAACCAGATATTCTCTCGCTGGCTCCAATCTCCTGGTGCTTCCACCTCCCACAGTCGCTTCTGCTCCTCACGATAAGTCTGCAAGAATTTCTGGCAAACTGAACAGGAGAAACCAAGGGGTAAAGCATGAATGAGTGAAAAGTACAGTGGAAGAGTGAGTGTGTTCTATCCCGGAAATTCTCTCAGACCTACTTTCATTAGTTCCTTTGGAAATCTTTTCTTCTCTCTTCTCATCTTCCCTTTTTTTAATTTTAGCTGGGGCTTTTAGTAAAAGTCTATGTGGAATGACCTAAACAGGCACAAGTGAATCCTGTCCGTCTGCTTCAGTCTAGATTACTTCCTTGTGAGTGCAGAAATACAGGACTTGAAATGACTTACTGAGCCACCTTCTTCTGGCACTGCATCACAGAACTATCTCCAGACACTTAGTAGGTTTTAGACTAACAGCAGTGTGGGTTTTTCACCCTCACTACTCTGAAATGAAAGGTGTTTCAGTATCTTCCAGCTTTAACCATTAAGAATGCTACTCAAGTTTCTATTTATAAACTAAAGCTTTGTATTGGTTTGTTCTTGGGCCAATACCATCCTCCATTTTACTACTGCTACCCTATACTCCGTTGCTGGGGTTCATTTACTTCTTTGGGTGTGGAAAACAGGAAATAGGAAGAATTAACACAGGAATAACAGGGGTACCTGTGTCAGATGTACAATCACCTTGAGAAACCATATTCCCATAGACTCCTATCGCTGTCAGTCCATACTGAATATTAATATAGTTTGGATAAACAATCAAATTTAGGTTTGCTTCTGTTATCAAACTGAAATCTACAGTCTTATTTAGAGGTTTCCTTAGGATGTCTGCAGAGCCAAGAGGAGGCATATGTTGTAGGACAAACCATTAAAAAAATTTAATGAGGATTTTTAAACCTTCCTTAACCACTGTTCTATTAGTTCCACCAACTCTACTAAGACAGCAATCTGTAAACAACAAAAGTATTTTCATGCCCTCCTCTGTTCATTCTGGTTCATCATACTACAGAATGAATCTAGATGGGTCACTTATCTTCAGCATTCAGTTAAGTTTAACATTGGGATGTTGAAACAAAAACCCGATTCTGGTATGTAAACAGTTGCTTCTCAGTACTGAGCAGATCACTGTCATTAATTTTATCCAAGGATATCCAAAGTAAATTAATTATTTCAAGAAAAGCTACTGAAAGTAATATATATATACCAAAATAGAGACATATGCTAAATGGCGTTTTACTTCCTTTTAGGCCTCTGTAGCACGTTAAATAACATGCTAGTGAAACTGTGCACATTTAGTACAGAGATTTAAAGTACAAGGTTGTGGTTCCAATGAAATTTAAAAAAGGCAGTGACTCAATATACCCAAAATTTAACTTATAGTATTAATACTTTTATAAAAGCAGGACCTAGAAAACCTAATTAGAACATCATACAAGTCAAATTTGTTCACTATTAGCTCTAATCTTAATTGAGATGAAAGCATAGTCTTGCAATATATCACGAGTGTTAACACATAAACAATGCAGCTTTCTGATCCATAGTGTCTAAACCATTGATGTTTATGTCTAAGCCATAGGAAAAATGGATATTACCGGGAGAAGAGAAAAAATGTTGTCAATACTATTCCTTCCTGAAATTAGAAGTAGCAGTACCTTAGAAACTCCAGGGGTACATTTCTATACGTCAGGGTACACGTGTATACATTCAATAACAAATACTGACCAAGGGAAAGAACAGATACAGTCAAAATTTTGTTGACACTTATTAGGAAATGGCTGTAGAGTCGTAAGTCAATAGAAACGTCCCCCAAAAAATGACAGTAAAGACTGTATACCATACAGAGAGAAACTTTAGGAAAAAATGCTTTTCTAAAGAAAACAGTTTTACAAATAGTGTGAGCACAGATATTTTCTGTAAATTTTACTAGCAAAACCAGAACTTCAACCTGAACACAGAGAAGATATATAACTACTTAATGATCTTTTAAAAGTACCAAATGTTCAAAGACAGTCAATACGAAACAAGTACTGATGTGACTGAATGAAGGAGCAGAGCCCAGGTATATGGCTTATTAAATCTAATTTCTTACAAATGCAGTAGCTACAAAAGCATTATGTGCATAGTGCAAGCTTGACAACATCTTATGATTCTTTTCCCTCTGGTGTCAAATAAAATGGGTAAGTCACTGTCTAGGGCAATGACACAGTTCTATTCCTAAGAGAAAGCGAGATAAGAATGCAAAATGTCAAACAGGTAGTATGAGTTTTATGCTTCTCATTGTCTTACGTAAATATTGGCCTACCTTTCTGCAGGAAATTCCAGATGTTTCAAGAAAAGTAACCAGTTGTACGCTAACAACAGTTCAGTTCAGACAAGTGCACTGAACTCTTATACAGTTACGAAAATCCTACCAAGACCATATTGAAATTTATACATTATACATGACCCTTACCTAACGCTTCCACATCAAACAATTTACCTTGATACATCGCAGCAGAAATAGGGCAGCTGATCCCCAAGGCATCCTCAGCCATGAAAGACTGACAGAAATCATGCAGCATTTTCATCCCTAGGCCACCTCTTCGGTGCTTTCTCCGGACGAATATAGTATCCAAAACCGGCAGCAAGTAACATTGACTGGTTGTACCATCACATAGGCTCCCTGAAAGTAGACAGTAAAAAATACATGAATTTGAAAACAAAATTGGTATTGCTGCACTAACCAACCACTGTGTGATTCTAGCCACAAATACTGCCCCGATACCTTTCCAAGGATGACCCCAACCGAGGTGCATTTGCATAGACAGTAAAACACTTTCCAGGAGAAAGGTTTTTGCCATCAAACTGAGAGGGCCTGCTTAACATGTGGCTGACAGGTCTCACCGTAGTATTTTCGAGACTCTCATTCTTCATAATCGGACCATCCAGGTACACAGGGAACATACATAGGAAAGTTCACTGAAAAGATATAACTGGGCTATAGCCAAAGAGGCATAAACATTCCAAATGTAATCTCAGTATATTCCTTTAGCTTTTGGCTATACCGGTAAATTACTCCACAAACTCTTTTTATGAAATACACTAAACCACACAACACAGTATGATCTAAATGCTCAGAAGGTCTATACTGCCTGATGCAGCTGGCCAGTGGAGGAGGATTCCAGAGCAAACCCCCAATACTGTTTCAGCTAACAATTTCATAATGACTGCAGGGAGAGAAGAGAGGCTCTCCTGGCCTCTGCATACATTGCTGTTGTGCCTCCCCAAATGGTATGGTAATACTCTGAAGCATGAAATTTGACTGGCCCCATCATTTACACCTCCTTTCTGACTTTTACTGGTCAGAAAGTTATACAACCCTTTTACTGCATATTCAGCCTTCGATCTCCTAGTTCAGTAAATTCCATAGACAACTGTACAAAAGAATCCTTCGCTCTTTCAGTTGCTGTTATCTGTCAACACATACCCAGGAGACATCTTCAAACCTTTGCTGGTAAGAGAACCACACAAAAAGTAAGTGTTGGGGTTGCTCCACCTGAAACTAGAAACAGACCCCTAACTGCTCATGCTCACAGCGACTCTGGGCCAGAAGAAGGGAAGTCCTTCACTCGCCTCCTTCAGAAAACAGAGCAGAAGCCAGGCAGCCCCAACAACCCAGCACGTAACAGGGAGGCAGATCACTTCCCAAAGAGGAAGAACCATGTCTGAGAAAGCACCGAGTAGAATCCAAGCGATAACTAAATCACGGCAGCAGCTTAGGTTCAACCTTGCACTGCAGCACACAAAAGTCACACCTCTGTAGAAGATGAGTATAGACATTAATTAAGGCATTTGGGTATAAAGCCATAAACAACTGAGTGGTGCATTTTAAGAAAGTACTGTAAGTGCTCCTTTGTAAGTCACTCGATTTCTACTGAGTGGTAATTTATCACATGTGTACGTGCTTTTAGTCCATTGCTTGAACTACTACTATCAGTGTTAAACTAGGGTTTTCACTGAAGGACGGTCCTTGCTAATAAACACATTAAGTCAGTCACTTGAAATCATGAGGACGTGACAAAATGCTCTACATGCGGACAAAACACAGACTCAAGTATAAGCCTCCAAACTATTAAAACTGTTCTCAGTGAAAACTGTCAAAAAAATTAGAACCAAGGGATTTATTTTGCAATCATGTATGGTAAACTCCAACTGGAGTCAAGAGAAAGCTGATTAAGAACAGACATTCAGGGTCCAAAATTTTAATGTTCACCCTGAACAACTTAGGGTCCTATTGCAGGAGGTACATTAGCGATTCACTGTACAACTTCCCGTCAGTGCAGAATACCACAAAAGCAGAACCTCAAACTACCTGACAGCATAAGCGTTCAACCCTGAAATGAATGACCAACATCAGTTCACCAACTACCTACCTAGAGGATAAGGTCACCATAGAAACATCTTGCTGATTTATTTTCATTTTTAGAAAATATTTATAAAAAATTCATGCTGCTTCTATCTGGGTACATGGCAGTTTAAACAGAAATGGATATCCAGGCCTTTATAACAGAAAAAAATTACATTTTCTTACTTTGTTGCTTAAATCTCATCAAGACCTTCTCAGTTTTCTTCCTTACCACTTACTAGTGTACCACTCAGTCTAGTTTTCAGTGTCTTGAGACAGGAAACTTCCGTCACTTCACTAAGACCCGTTTTGCAGTGTCACAGGTCTCCTATTGAATGGCTGTTCCTAAATTTCAGTACAAGACTTTTACTTAATAGATGCATTTTTTCTTTATCACATGCCCATAGCTATCTTAAACTGAGGTCTACTTCTGTTCCTTGAGTTGGTGTCTAGTGCCTTTTGCTGACAGTCGCCAGGCCTGACTTTGATTACTCTTTTCTAGGATGCCAATTCAGCAAAGCATACATGACTATATTTAATTCTAGACCCTGATTTGTCAGGGCTGTAGCTCTCCATTTAGCAAGAATCCACGTCACACATACTAGCCATACAACAAGAGTACGTTTAGCAAGAATCCACATCACACATACTCAGCCATACAACAAGAGTACGTAGCTACATAATCAATCCATTCACATCCAGGCTTGGTCTACCCCTGCTTAATCAAAGTGCATGCTTAACTTCAAACACGTGTTCAAGCACATTGTTGGAAAAGGATGGTTTGTGGTGGTGTTTACAACCTTTCAATATTTGTAACACATGATGGGTGGTTACGCTTTTTTCATAAGCCAAAAAATTGAGTATATCCTCAGTCCCATTGTTAGCTGCCAACCCAACAGAGATGTTGGATTCCAGAAATGTTGCACCATACATTCTAAGAAAGGGACAAACTTTTCCTCATGAAGTCAATAGCTTTAAGGATTCCTCCACATTGCAAGTGTCCTTATAAGTTTATTATTATCTCATATAGTCTGTCTCCTATAAATCCTGATGAGACTGCTGTGCAGCAATCCCAGGAGCTGAGTGATTTATGTCTGTGCTCCTAATTTTGTGCTGAGAAGACGACAAAAACTTGTAATGTCTAAAGGCACTGTAAATAAAGAAACCATGAAGCCATTCTTCACCTTGTCCCTGGGAAACATATTAGAAGAGTCATAGCCCACAGCCATTTGAAATAAAATAAACAAACAAACAAACCTTTGGAACAAAGGCCACTTTGTCTCCAGTTCCAATCCAATAGCAAAGAGGTTACTGTAAGCTAATGGTGGCCCAGAGGTGACCGCTAGGCTCTCACACATTTGGTTCAGAGGTTTGTTTCATTGTTGAAACACACAAACAGACTAAGTTTTGAGGTGAAGGAGGAGACGGGAAATAAGGGCATTGGCGATGGAGATGGAAGTACTCATACAGTCTGCCCTTTGAAAGCCTTTGATCTGTCTGGTTAGGTCACGAGTGTCAAATGACCAACTTATGAGCCAGCAAAATGGTAAACAGATATTACAAGGGCAGGAAAGCAGACAGCCATTAGCATTCCCAAAGAGCCACAAACCAGAAAAAAAAACAATCCAGTCCCCACATCCAACAGACCCAAACAAAACAAGGTTGTGCATACTGACTATCCCTGCTGAA